CTGGGTTGCAATGTTTCTCTCCCCCTCTCCCTTCCTCCCTTCCTCTCTCTCTAAAAATCAATAAAAAATCTTTATTTAAAAAAAGAGAGAGAAGTGGAAATAACAGAAAAGAGGGATAATAATGCCATGAGAAAAAAAGAAAGTTAGAGCAAGAGCTGCAGGGAGGCCTCAGCCCAAGGACAGAGGTAAGAGGAGTTGCCTTCTTCGTTCTCTACTTTAACTCAAGCCCCAGTGGGCTGCACTGTCCCCTGGGGATCAGAGTGGTTCAGAGGGTCACCAGGGTCTCCTACTCCATGATGAAGCTCAGGATGAGAGAGGCTTTAAGGGGACCTGTGTCCTGACAACACTGTCTACGTATAAACCTACAAGAAATGCCCACATCTTTTTGACGGTCCACCTTGGGTAGCTGAGAGAATGCTTTGGGATCCTTGAGGTGTTTTGGCACTGTAATGATGAAAGCATTATTTCAGAGAAAATGATAACATCCAAGTAACACATAAAAGTTTGGGTGGAGAATGATGACTTTCCTGGAAACGACTGTTTATCTGTCTCAGGCAAATAATCTTCTTTGGTCTATCAGGGGAGGACTTTGTTTTGTGACATCATGGTCTGATCAGACAGAAACTAATTTTTTTTTCTTTTAGGAACACAAATGCCATGCATCTTTACATTTAAGTTTTAATAATATATCCTTGTGGTTTGGCTTAGTGGATAGAGCGTCAGCCTGCGGACTGAAGAGTTCTGGGGTCGATCCCAGTGAAGGGCACATGCCCGGGTTGCAGGCTCGATCCCCAGTGGGGGCCGTGCAGGAGGCAACTGATCCATGATTCTCTCCCATCATTGATGTTTCTATCTCCCTCTCTCTTCCTCTCTGAAATCAATAAAAATATATTTAAAAAAATATATATCCTTGTGGAATGGTTAAGTGTTACATGGACTCCATTTTCTGACAGTAAATTAAGCACAAGAGAAGATGCGTCAGAGGCTGATTTTTGCATTCTCAAATGACCAGTGTGGTCATTCTTGAACAAAGATCACATTTTGATTTAAAGCAAGTTTGCATATGCACAAGTTTGGTGTTTATTTGCCACCTGGAATTTTACCCTTTCTCCTTTCCAACCAACCAGGGCGATGGTTGTTTTCAAAATGTTGAGCTCCTTCCACCTTTATGTGTTTAGTGAACCCCCTTGCAAGATGGTCCTGATTGTTTTCTCCTGTTTCTCTCTAGCACCTCTATTTGAGCATCTTCCTCTCCTCTACTCATTGCACTAGTTTGGGGATATAAAAATCAGATATGTTGGTAAATGCTACGCAATGAATAGTGGAGTCAGTGTTAAAGTGCAGCTCCTACATGGAAGACCCGCGAGTTTTGTTACTGTGAGCTTTTCAAAAGCTTTACGTAGTATGGGATCAATGACAGTCATTTTGCAAATCACCTGCTAAAATGCAAACTGCATCTTTAATAGTCTAGTTTATGAAACAAATATCTGACTACAAAATTTTCAAAATGAAATTTCATAATTTAATTTTGTAATAAATAACTATCTCTAAATCTCACTAAATTCAGTCCAACTAAATCTTTAGCGAGGTCACAAATTTATTTTTATGAAAATTCTTCAAATGAGTTCAGAAACCCTCCGACTAATAACATGACACATCAACTCATGATTTCCTGGGCTTCGCATCTCTAATGGGCATAGACACCGTGATCTTTCTGAGACTGGCTCTTGCAGCTTCATTTACAACTGCATGGGTCTCCCAATAGGTCATATTTTCATGGGAGGTTATTTGTCATTTCTGGAATCCTAATGATCAGAATGTAATCTTTGCTGTCCTCAATAAAAAAAAAATACCCCCAAAAATGCAACATTCAGCCAACACAAATTTAGATGATCAACAGAAGAAAGGAATGCTTTTGGATCCTGGGCCTGATTATTTTTGTTTTAGACATGACAGATTTGCTGAACATAGTTTACAAATCGCCTTTCCTCTCCACCGCCTCTACCTCCACCAGCACACACACACCTTCACAACCTCGCCCTGTCTGACCATTCAAATACACACATCAGCTCCAAGTCACCACCCCTTTCTGATGGAAATTGACTCTGCTGAGTACCCCTTTAGTCTCAGTCTACATTACAAATAATAGTACTGAAGTTTTCAAGGCTTACTATGTTCCCTAGGAGTATATCACTTGAGCAGGCGAAAAAAAAAATTAGTTGGAAGTTTATTATTTTTTTCCACCAATATATTTGACACCACCTTTGGAGCGCGAACAAAAAGCATACTGTCAAGCAGACGGGCCAGGACAAAATGTTACTGTTTGTTCCGCATGGGCACAGAGGTATATTTAAGCAAAGAAAGACATTCCAGGACTCTCCGGGGACTTCCTTCAGCTGAATTATACCAACATGTTCACACCACTGTGGTTCAGGCTGTGCAGGAATTTAAAATGCAGACTCGGAGTTGCCAATGCTTAAATACCACAGCTATAAAAACTCATATTAGGACTGAACCTGGCTTTCAAATGTCATAAAACAAATGGGAGTTTCTTGGGGGGAGAAAAAACGTGTGTACCCATGCAGTGCCGCGGGAGGCATGAAAATAAGGGACGGCCTTGCTTGACAGGTTCTACACTCGGACAGGGAAGTCTCCAGGTCCCTAGAAGTCACCTGGCTTAGGATTAGGTTTCAAATCCAGCCTCGCTGACATTCACGAAACTTTGGGCAAAACATGGGCCAAGTTTCGAGCAAGGCCGGGTAGAATCCTTTCATGTAGAAGCTGCGTGAAACTCGGGGTGGCTTTGGCGAGCTTTCACCTGGAGTTTCACGTTCAAACAATCCAGTTTCAGAGGAAAATGAAGGGGTGAAGAGACACAAAGGAACAAAACAACAGCAGCAGCACAGGGAACAATGGCTTGACCACTGAGAATGGAATGGCCGTCTGACACCTTCCTGGCCCATGTCGTCCTGGTGCCATTGGACCCTGCACCTGAACCTGTGTTGCCTGTGACAGGACATTTGCACTCAGCGATGCCACATCAGAGCTCCCTAGCACTAAGGGGAAGGGGGGGCGGCATACTAGCCCCCCAAAGGCAGGGAAGTACACGCTTAAAATAACTGGAGGATTTAAAATTTTGACGCATCACAGAAATGTGATCATTAGTATGCTCCTTAGAAGGCAGATTTGAAGTGGGGGGTGAGGGGTTAGCAATTAAATGTCCAGATGTTGGAAATAAAAACTGGACTGAACATCTCTGAGTTTTCTTACTGTTAGTCCACATTCTAGAGACTCTATTTCACCTGATCCCCAGGTACCGCTCCCATAGCCTTCTCCCCAGCTCCTCCCCTCTGAAACCCTGTCCTGTGGCCACTGGCTCCCTTCCCTCCCAGCAAGGTGCAGAGTGCGGGGAGCCCGCTGTGCCAGCTCCCAGGAGCCCCAGTCCTGGCCGGGGACTTCAACAGCCCCGGGACGGCATTGGGCTCCTTCTAGCCCTAACCTTCAACAGAACAGATGGGGACAGTTTGCCAGCAAAGTCAGACTGAGTATCAGGCTGAGGACTTTGAAAATTCCCTCTCTCTGCTTTGAGGGAGGGGGCGAGGGGAGGGAAGAAAAGGGTAAGGAACAAGTGTAATACACACACGAACTTTCTTTAAAGAAAACACTTAAAAGTTGATTGAATGGCTAGGAAGTGCTACATGGCCTATTTTGGGAAATACATTTTTTTCATTCCTTATCCCTCATTCAGCAGAAGTTTCACTGGCATAACAGGCTTTTGGCTACCCAGGGGTTCCCCCCCCCCCCAGTTTTCCTTTTTAAAAATTCCCCCTTCTTTCTTTCTTTTTAATTTTTTTTTAAGTTACCCAGAAGATCACCCTATGTTTAACATGCATGCTTTCTTTTGACATGTGATCTGCGATATCAATAGACTGTTTTGGAAACGAGAATCAGTAAATACCAAGGATATCTGTGTTCATGCTAAAAGGCAACAGTTAGGCCTCGAGACACGTGGTGATTTTGAGGCAGCGGGCGATCGAGGGTTTGGGGGGTGGGGTGGGGGGCTGACAGAGCCGGGCTCTGCACTGTCCTTTGCTGCCGGCAGGGGGGCAGGGGGCAGGGGGCCAGGGGGGCAGGATTCCTCCCAGTCTCAGTGGTGGGAGAGCCTGGCCCGGGAGACACAGTCTTTTCCTTGCAGGTAGGGGTCTCCAGGCAAGTAAAACCCAAGACGTAGCAGAGGGAGAACCAAAGCCCAAGAGATCACCTCAAGGAAGTGATTTCGAAGCACGGAACAAAAAGACTTTTCACCGACCGCAGTCAATACCCACAATCAAAGCGAACGCCGTGTTTGAAGTTAAAGTCCACAGATCAAAGTACTTGGCAGGACGGTGAGCGCGCGCGCGCGGAGGGGTGGCGGGCAGGCGCGGGGAGCTCTCCAGAAAATGAGATCGTCACGTGCGAGAAACCTGCCGGCAAGACTTCCAGCCGCGGAGGGAGTCCTCCGGGCCCCGCGGGTCAGCCAGCCGCGCCAGGAAGACACAAACAGCAAACCGCCCAGCCAACCGCCCCACGGCCAGCTAGGAGCGCGCGCAGGGCGATCGCCCGGAGAACCGCAGAAAAGAGAGCTTGCTCCCTGTCCCTCAGGAACGATTACTCATAGATTTTCTTTATTCGGGCGGTTGCATCTTTTTCCTTAAAAAACAAACAAACCGACACTGTGGTGCCTGCCAGGGGGGCTGCTGCGAGGGGTCAGGGCGGGGAGGTCTGGGCAGCGCAGGCACAGGCGGGGGACAGAGAGCGTGAAGCAAAGTTTAAAATCGCTTCCCCCTCACCCCCCCCCAAACCCCCAGGCACAGAGGCTCCTGCTGTAACGGGGGACACCCTGTTTACCTGGAGACCGTTCGCAGCCCCCCGCTTATTTCCACTCTCAATCATTTGTTTGAAAGCATTCACCAGAAAGGTCCGAGGAACCAATGAAATCCTTGTAGAATAAAACCCCTTACCTCGGGCAGCCGGGCTCCCGGTCGCTCTGCGCAGAGGAAGTAGGAGTCAGTGGCCTTTACATGTAGAGATTGTTTATTTAGCCCTTTTCAGAAGGTCTTGAACTCCAGAGATTTCAGATTAAGTCCCAATCCAAGTGTCTGAAGGGGGGAAGAAGGCCAGAGAGAAGGCACATAAGGGAGCGAAAGGATCGCAGCTGCTGGGTGGTGCTACCGTTCTGAGCGCCTTTGAGCTATTTTCAGCATTAGCAGCAGCCGCGGTGGACTCGCGAAGGGAAGAAAAAATCTAGTCGGGATCGCCACACCCCCCATCCCCTACCCGGGAGGGGGTGGGGGAGGACACCAACCAGGAAACCCACAACAACGTGGTTTACGGTGCAAATATTCATTTAAATGTTGGGGAAAACTGCCCAGCGCTCTTGAAAACAAACAAATAAAAACCTTGACTGGAATCTTAAAGAAACAGAGTGCCTAGCCATAATCCCCAAGTTTTGTTGTTTTTTTCCCCCCCAAAATGATCTGCCAGATTCTTTGAAAATAAGATTTCTGTTCAGCACACTTCCCTCTGTTCCTTATGGAGAGGGAAGGCTTTCAATCTGATATTTTCTTGCTCATTTACATATGGGTCTTAAAAACAAATGTTCCATCTCTGTGGTAGGTATACCTGTGGTCAGCCGAACTTTCTTCAGATGGAAGGCAAATGGTTTGTTTCTAGCACGCACCCACATTTCCAGTTTCATCAAGGATGCTATTTTTGAAAGCTACTTGGTTAAGCTGTTGACGTTTCTTATCTGTTGGCAGCGACTGGGGACCATTCAGTGACATGATGCAGACAGACACCAATTCCCCCTGCTCTCCCCACGAAGGCCAACGGAGACATAATCCAGATTGAGTCACCAACAATGGCCAGCAAACTAGGGCCTTTATTTTGTTTCTAGACTTATAAATTAAGATCTAGAAGTTGTATTCATGCGTGCATGCATACATGCATTCATTCTGCAAATATTTGTGAGAAGTACTCTTTAACCTACTATATGCCAGGCACTTCAAGAATAGAGTGGGCAAAATATATAGGGTCTTTGCTTCCAATGGTTTACAGCACACAGATGCAGCAAGAATAAAGATAGAATTGGTTCACAGTTTCTTTCTTCTTCTTCTTCTTTTTTTTTTTTTTCACACTATGAGGCTATTCAAGCCATAGCCATTGGAGATGAGATCTCTTTATAGTATGACTGAAGGGAAATGCTATACATCATCAGACCAACTCCTGGTTTCCATTGCTTCATTCTGCCTTTTACACCCCTAAGAAGAAGGAAAGTTAGTTGCTTCCTACAAAGGAAACACTGAGGTATTTTTATAAAAACCTTTATTCTGGGTGGATGAAACCCTGAGTCCTTTCAACTCCCCAGTCCCCATAACGAAGACAATGCTTAGCAGTCAATGAGTTCTGTGGAGAGATGAAAGATTCTATGACCTTAGGCCAGTATTAAAACCACCAGGAGATAGTTTATAATTAATAGGATGAAGGTTGGTTACTAGACACTCAGATCAAATCCAATTCTTTCCTTGCAATTAAAGAGAGACACTGAAAGTGATTATAGAAAATACTGAGGATGATGCATGCTATGTTAAAAAGAAGATATGACTGCTATTTCAAGTACTATGGTAAAATAGGAAATCCTTCAACATAATACACATATTAAAGGTATGCAGATATTTAAATATAAAAAATGACAATTTAAGTTTGAAATATCTAATCAAATTTTAAAATAAGATTAACTTTATTTAAAAATGTATATAGCAGAGTTTTTAAAAATCTCTGTAGAATAATGCATTTTTTCCCATTCATTTATTTTAAATGGTCATAGGTTAATATGTCTTAGTTATCTGTCAGTTTGAAATAGGATATTTACATTACTTGGTCAAAATGATAAATGGTAATTCTGACAAAAAAAAATGGAAGCCTAGCCTCAGACAGAAAATTTTAAATTGTTTTTACTTTTTCCTCCTAATAGTAGTTTATAATAAAAAGAAAATGCATTTAAATATCAGCCTTCCTTGAAAAAAATGGAAGTTACGGGAGCTAATAAAGATGAACTATTTGACTAGCAAATCAGCTGTTATTTTTAAATTCCAAATTGCCTGTTTCCCACAGCAATACATTGCCTCGCATTTAACTACCATCTTACGGAGATGTGTTCTGAGAAACGCTTCTTTAGGTGCTTTCGTTCTTGTTCCCCCATCACAGAGAGCACTTAACACAAACCTAGATGGAACAGAGTCCTAATCACCTAGGCTGTTTGCTCCCAGGCTACGAACCTGTACAACAGGTTATTGTGCAAAACAAATTGAGATGATATCAATCACCAGAAAAAAATGATGCTATCAAGAGATGCGGTAAACACAGGAGCTGTATGAGGCTGCTGCCTGTGTAACATGCCACACCGTTTGACGGTGTTAAAGAAAATCCACAGGCCCTGAAACGGCATCACTGCCGATAAAAGCCCATGATAACAAACCTAGATTAATACCTGATCTAATTGCAATTTCAACCTCTTCCAGAAAAGGAATCTTAATCAACTGGTCTGTAATTTTCTGGTCACGCCCCAGGAAGGTTACCTGTCACTGTGGTCCCTCTCCATCCCTCAGGGAAAGAAGAGGCAACCTGCATGATAAAAAACCCTTCCCCTCTGCCCCCCCAAAGAAAGGTGTCCTGGCCCCAAAACAATCATTTCTTTTTTCAATAGCTCCCTTGCCCCACCCTCTTCTTATAAAAACCTTCCATTGTGCACAACCCCTTACAGCCCCCTTTGTAGTTGCTAGGTGGGATGCTGCCCGTTTTGTGTATAAGTAGAAAAAGTACACTCTAAAACAACGATGAAAGTATAGTATAGTAAACACATAAACCAGTAACATAGTCGTTCATTATTATCATCAAATATCATGTACTGTACGTGACTGTATGAGCTAAGCTTTTATATAACTGGCAGGGTGGGAGGTTTGTTCTCACCAGCATCACCACAAACACATTGGCGTGGGGCTATGACGCTACGAGGGCTGTGACATCACTAGGCGATAGGAAATTTTCAGCTACATTGTCATCTTATGGGACAACCATTGTATATGAGGTCCATCGTTGATCTACATGTCATTATGCGGTGCATGATTTTATTGTTGGAGTCATTTTGTATTAGAGTCTGCACCTAATGAACAGATTATGACCCTGCTAGCTGCTTCCATTTAGGACACATCTTATCCTGCCACGGGACTCACCAAAGGTCTCCTTTGTTCCCCAAGGTCCCATTGACCAACCAGCCTGTCCATAGCACTTCTCACCACATTTGATGTCACAGTAAAGTGCATGTTGGACCTTACACATATTTTAAAAGGTTAGAGGATAATAAATTTGGACTTTTCTACTTATGCACCTACTATGCCTTTTATAAGCTATTGATGTCTTAACAGTTGTACTAATTATAGTCATCTTAATGCTTCGATTTGTATTCTTTAACCTTCTTTTTTTTTTTAACAAATAAGTAGATTTAAAATAATTGGGAAATGCTTCTATTAAAGTGGGCTTCTTATATTGGTGAAACACCACATAGGGTTTGGGCACCACCCCTCCTCTGTGTACCGTGGGGATAATAACTGCACCAATCCCCAGAGTTGTGGTAGTGTTTATGTAAATAATGCACGTAAGATGCTTGGCTAAGTAATGGCTGATACATAGCAGGCATTCAATCAAAGTTCATGCTGTTATCATTAAAAGTGTAGGAGTTGGCTGTCCAATATGGTGGATTCATGTGGCAATTGATCATTTAGCATGTGGCCAATAAGAACCGAGATAGCATTTAAGAGTAAAAAACACACTGGACTGCGAAGACTTACTATGGAAAAAGTAAGTATACTACCAAATTAATTTTTATATTGGTATATGTTGAAATGATGATAATATTTCAGACACGTAGGGTTAAAAAAGTTTTGTTATAATTCATTTTACCTGGTTTTTTTTTCCTTTTAAAAACTGACAACTAGAAATTTTACATAATATATGTGGCTTGCATGAATGTCTATTGGGAAGTGCCATCTAGGCCAGTCGGACTCAAACTGTCAATACTTAGGTTGCTGGGCCCCACCCCCACTTTCTGACTTAGTAAGTTTGGGGAGGGTCCTGGAATTTTGCATCTCTAACAAGTCCCCAGGTGGTTCTTGGCCACACTTTGAGAACCACTGAGCCTTACCGTAAAGAGTGGCCTATGGATCAACATCAAAGACATCACTTGGGAACTTGCTCAGAAGTTGAAACTCTCAGGCCCTACCCATACTGACTGAACCAGCAAGTACATTTTAACAGCATCCCCAAATTGTGTGTATGCACACTGAAATTTGTGAGAAATTGATATAAAGTAGTGTCTGTCCTCCCTGGGTACAAATGAGACTTATCTGGAGAATTCTTTTAAATACCAGTATCCTGGACATAACTCTGGAAAGTTTGTTTTAAGTAATCTAGATGAAATTCAGGCATCTGCATATCTAAAATCTCATGGGGTAAAAGCAAGCACTGAGAGTTTGATGGGCAGTGGGGCCCATCAGACCACACACACAGGGGCCAGAATCTAGAAACCAGACAGGTTCCTCCTAGGGATGGGCAGTTGCTTGGGAGGTTGTCCAGTGCTAGGTGGAGACAGTGGAAACTGACAGCAAGGGGTATAGCCACCAGCAGGAGGGACCCGGGAAGAAGCGACCTATACTTCCTCAGGTCTGACAGAGGACCCTAGCTGCTCAAGAGTGAAGAAAGCAGCGCATGGCCGTGGTCTCAGAGGAACCAGAACACTACGCAAGTCATCTGGGTGGAGATGCAGGCTCTGAACAATAAGAACTTGGGCACAAGAACGCCGGTGCCAGTCATGAGTGGGACTGGCCACCGTGTTGACTGTGTTTAACCTCTCCAGGACTGGATCAGGTTCAGAGGCTGGAACCATCTTTCAGGGGTGAGGAAGGGAAGAAATGGACAGCAGTGTTGAAAGTCAGTTTGGTTCTACATTTCCTTCTCTCCCTCTATAGCACACAATAAAAATGGAGATTGTTCTTGGCCAAGTATTGGTTGAATTAAAACCATGTATGCTGAGGCAGAGCTGACA